CCCTCCTGAGCCCACCCCTCCTGAGCTCACCCCTCCTGAGCCCACGCATCCTGAGCCCTGCAGCTCCTGTCACCTCTCTGTTAACCATGTGTTTATGATGCTTTGGCCTCTTGAGGCTCTGCTGACCCTAGAAAGGCTGCCTCTCCCCAGTTAGCCACGTCCTACAGAGAGCAAATGACAGTGCAAGCACCTTTTACATGCAAAGCATTTCAGCCAGAGCTCACACCCCGCCACCCCACTGGACTCCTGGCCACTGTCCCCTTGCCCTCATCACCCCAGGGCCAGGTACCAGACAAGCAGAAACGTTAGATGCCTAGTACCTGCCGAAATTACTCAGACCAGCCAATCCTAAACTTGCTTATGATGCCTTGCCTGTTGTTTTCCATGAAAATCACAATCAAAGCTCCCACCCATGTTTCCCTTTACTCCCTCGGCCTCCTGACCCACCTTGGTGCTTCCCCAGGGACCCCTATGGTGTGGAAGGCCCCAGCTGACTTTTCATTGGCAGTCATCTCTTGATCTGTTGGCCTTGCTGTTCTGAATAATAATGACACCTACATTCTGAAACATCCTCAGAGGGGAAAGCCAAGGCCTTCATGTGATCTTGGCTCTGCTGCCCACTCTGGAAGCCACTGGTCACATGTGGCTATTGAGCATTTGAAATGTGGCTGGTCAAAACTGAGACGTGGTTTGACTGTAAAATACACCCTGGGTTGACCAGGTGTAGTGGCTCACACCTGTAATCCCAGCACTTTGGGAAGCTGAGGCAGACAGATCACAAGGTCAGGAGTTCGAGGCCAGCCTGGCCAACATAGTGAAACCTCATCTCTGCTAAAAATAGAAAAAATTAGCCGGGCGTGGTGTGTGCCCGTAATCCCAGCTACTCGGGAGGCTGAGGCAGGAGAATCATGTGAACCCGGGAGGCAGAGGTTGCAGTGAGCCGAGATTGAGCCATTGAATTCCTGCATGGGTGACAGTGGGAGGCTCTGTCTCAAAAAGTAAATAAATACATACATAAGCACGCTGGATTTTGAAGACTTAACACAAAATAAAAAATAATGCAAAATAGCACATCAATTAGTTTTTATATCAACCACATGTTGAAATAATAATATTCTAGCTATATTGGGTTAAGCAAAACACATTAAAATTAATTTGTTTCCTTGCTTGTTTTTTAGTACAGCTATTAAAAAACTGAAAATGACTCATGTGGCTCCTATTCTTTTTTTGTGAGCCTTACTCTGTCTCCCAGGCTGGAGTTCAATGGTGCGATTTTGGCTCATTGCAACCTCTGCCTCCTGGGTTCAAGCCTTCTCCTGCCTCAGCCTCCTGAGTAGCCTGGACTACAGGCACCTGCCACCATGCCTGGTTAATTTTTTGTATTTTAGTAAAGATGGGGTTTCACCATATTGCCCAGGCTGATCTCAAACTCCTGAGATCAGGCAATCTGCCCATTTCAGCCTCCGAAAGTGCTGGGATTACAGGCACAAGCTGCGCGTCCGATGTCCCATTCTATTTCCACTGGACACTGCTGGTCTAAGCATCCTCCCCGACTCACCCTGCTGCCTCTCTGTCTCCTCGTCCCTTCTCTGTCTCACTCCATCTGCTGCACACTGCCTTTGTTGCTGTGCCGTGCATTCCAAGGCAGCTACTGTCTCAGGACCTCTGCATGAGGCCTTCTCTCCAGCTGGAGTGAGCCTCCGGATTCCAGCAAGGCTGGCTGCCTCCCTCCCCACCGTCTTCACCGCACAGTCACCTCCTCAGCGAAGCCTGCCCTGGCTTACCACTCTAAAGTGTCCACATCACCCACATTCCTTGCAGTCTCTCTGCTTTATTTTTCACGCTTAATATGTATCTCTAGCTAATATTTGCTCATTTATCAAGCGATCGATGTCTCCACCAGCATGAAAGCTCACAAAGGCAGGGATTTTTGCCTCTTTTGTTCTCTGCTGCATCCTCTGTGCCTAGAAAGAACAGTGCTTCACACACAGTCACACTCAATAAATATTTGTTGAATGAGTGAATGCAGAATACAGGCTTTTAGCCTCAGGGTGCTCATTTCGAGTAAAAGAAGTCAAATATATGTGACAGATAAAAACAGTGCCAGAAGCATTGGGAAGCAGGTGAACAGCCTTCAGGGAGTTGGGAACGGGGCCAGTGGAGCAGGACAGCCAAGGCAGAGAGGCCATCGGACCCACTCCAACCTGCTATAGTCAGCAGAGGTAGGAGGAGGGTGCAGCAGGCTGCAAAGAAGAGACGAGAGCATTTTCATTTTCTTACAGCTTCCCAGAAAGTGTGCGGGACTTGCTTCCTGAACTCAACCCTTGGTACTGTGGCTTGATTCTACGAGTGGGATTTGATGCAATGATGAAGAATCTGCCCAACTTGCAGGCCAAGTGGCCCAGGGGGTTCCTGTAGAGTCTCAGGCCCCGTACCAGAATGACTGATTAAAATTTGCATTTTAACCACATTCCTGACAAATCCCATGCACAGCGCATGCCAAATTGTAGTGTGTGCTATCAATAGAGGAACAGAAAGACAAAATGTGGTGTATGCACTCAATGGAATATGATAGAAAATTTTTCTCCTTTTTTTTTGTGAGACAGAGCCTTACTTTGTCACCCAGGTTGGAGTGCCATGGTGCGATCACAGCTCACTGCAATCTCGACCTCCCAGGCTCAGACGATCCTCCACCTTAGCCTCCTGAGTAGCTGGGAAGGCAGTTCTGCCACACACTAACTTTGATATTGTGCTAAGTGAAATAACCAAATGCAAAGGACAACTTTTGTACATCTTCACTTAGATGTTGGAACTAAGCTGACAAATCCATAGTGACAGAAAGTAGAATGCCGGTTGTCAGGAGCTGGATGGGTTAGGGAGAATGGAGGATTGCTATTTAATGGATTCAGAATTTCGGTCTGGGAGGATGGAAAGAATTCTGTGGTTGGATGGTGGTGATGGCTGCACAACAGTGTGAATGTACTTAATGCCACTGAACTGAACACTTAAAAATGGGTAAGATAGGAACATTTATGTTATACATACACACACGTGTGCACACGTGTGCGTGCGCGCGCGCACACACACACACACACACACATTTTTGAGATGGAGTTTCACTTGTTGCCCTGGCTGGAGTGCAATGGTGCAATCTCAGCTCACTGCAACCTCTGCCTCCTGAGTTCAAGCGATTCTCCTGCTTCAGCCTCCCAAGTAGCTGAGATTACAAGTATGCGCCACCATGCCTGGCTAATTTTGTATTTTTAGTAGAAACAGAGTTTCACCACATTGGCCAGCTGATCTTGACTTCCTGACCTCAGGTGATCCACCTGCCTCCCAAAGTGCTGGGATTACAGGTGTGAGCCACCACACCCGGCCATGTTATATATATTTTACCATGATAATAAAAAAAAGTGTGCTTACAAGTCTCCTGTGCTGTGGCCTGAGAATCTGCATTGCTGAAAGGTTTCTGAGTGGTGCTGATGCTGCTGGTCCCAGGTCAGTACTTACACCTCACAGCATCGGGATCCATCATCAGGCCAAGGTGAAACGTCGTGTCTTCTGTTTCCCCAAGCTCGTTCTTCTCGGTTAATACCAGCTTGGAACATAAACCCCAGGAGCTCCTGCGCTCCACCCCCCACTGGGCAAGTGATGTCTCTTCCTTGAAGGCTCCATTGAGTTAACCTGACTTCAGCAGCACCTATACCCGGGTGCCCACACAGTGATTTCTCGGCCGCATGAAAGGGAATATTCCCTGAGCAGAGGTTTGCAGAGCTTATGATATAGAATGCTCATACAGGTCAATGAAGAATGAGAAACACCCTAACATGAAAACGGCTAAGGGGAGTAATAAAGAAGCATTTAATAAAGTAGAAATACAGGCTGGACACAGTGGCTTATGCCTGGAATTCCAGCACTTTGGGAGGCCAAGGTGGGAGGATCACTTGAAGCCAAGAGTTTGAGACCAATAGGGCAACAAAAAGTAAAAAAATAATAATAAAATAAACTTCTTTTCACTTTTTGTAGAGTAAATAATTTTTTTACTCTACAAAAAGTAAAAAATTAGCCAGGCATGATGGCACATGCCTGTAGTCCCAGCTACTCGGGAGGCTGAGGCAGGAGGATCACTTGATCCCAGGAGGTTGAGGCTGCAGTGAGCTATGATTGTGCCACTGCACTTCAGCCTGGGCAGCAGAGTGAGAACTTGCCTCAAAAAAGGAAAAAAAGAAAAAGAAAAGAAAAGAAAGATGGCCAAGAAATGTCAAAAATGAAAACTCTAATTAGTAAACATGGAAGAAAATAATAAGAATGCATTTTTTTTAATAGAGTGGGTTGGAAAACAAAATGAAAAGAATTGTAACCAGTGCCAACTTCAGTATGAAGAAAATGATGCCAATTCTCAGAATGAACGGACCCTAGATCAGTACATTTGTGGAACGATTTGGTAATATGTATCAAGAGCCTTAAAAAGATACGTACTCTTCAAATAATTCCACTTCCAGCAGTTTGCTCTTTGGAAACAAGCGGATATGCGCACAAAGACACATGCACAAGATTACTCACTGCAATGTTGCTTATAGTCGCAAAAAGAATCTTAGCTTCCTAGTTGGTAAATTTATTATATCTACGTAAAAGAATGTTAGACAGCCATTTTAAATGATTCTGTGGATGACCATTCTGTCTTTACTTATTTGGAATAATTCGCGTTTGAGCTGAAAAAGCAGTTTAAAGAGCCATTTGTTGTCATCTTCATGTCCAGGAGTACCCAATGTTTGGCTCCCACTTAAAAGTAAAAACAGATAGTATTTGGTGTTCTGTTCCTGGATTAATTCTCTTAGGGTAATGTCCTCCAGTGGCTTCCATGTGGCTGCATAGGACATGATTTCTTTCTTTCTTTTTTTATGGCTGGATAGTATTCCATGGTGTCTATCCAATCCACCGTTGATGGATTGGAAAAATCCAGTTACAAATGGAGAATAAATCCACCTTTGATGGCATCTACGTTGATCCCATGTCTTTGCTCTTGTGCTGTGACGAACACGCACATACATGTGTCTTTTTGGTAGAACTATGTGTTGTCTTGTACACATATATCTACTTTTAGGGGAGGAAAGGAGGGGAGCAAAGTTTCAAGAACTAACTGTTGGGTACTAAGCTGACTACCTGGGTGATGGAACATTTATAGCCCAAACCTCAGCCACACATGATACACCCAGGTACTGGCACGTGTACCCCTGAATCTAAAATAAAAGTTTAAAAATAAAATAAAATAAACAGAACCATTCATATATATGAATTAAATTTGTTTTAAAAGGATAGATGACACATTTTTACACAGGGAAAAGTCTGGAATCTATGTCACAGTGATTGTCTCTGGGTAGAAAGATTGGGAGTTATTTTAGTTATATTTCTGTTTGTTGCTTATCCATATTACCTAATTTTTCTACAGTGATTATGCGTTACTAGAGTTTGGTTGATTTAAAACAATATATCCCACATTGGCTCATGAAAAGAGCATGCAAAAGAAACCATAGTTACCAAGAGGAAATGTGTGTATCAGGCTGAGGTCTTGTGTAACATGGGATCATGCAGGTAAACCAAAAAGGCAATAATTGAACTGAATGGCAAGGGAAGAACCATTCCGGGAAGGAGCAATCACTTTGGAAGCAGAGTCTCCGTGTTTACCAAGCTCCAGGCACCAAATGTGAGGCAGGACTCAGTGAATTTGCAAACAGCACACTGCTGTCGGCAGAAAGCTGGCTTCCCTTCCTCCAATCGATGGTATCATTTCATCGACACTGGCCAGGCGGCAGCTGCGGGGCTCAGCACTGGACCATGTTCGCTCATCTAACCCCAGTGATAACCCTGAGAGATGGGCACGGTGCCCTGTGGCACGAGCTGGCTAGTGGGTGCCCGAGCCTCTATTTGTTGTTGCTGTTTTAATTTTTTTTAATTGACAAATAAAAAATTGTATATATTTATTGTGTACAACATGTTGTTTTGAAATATGTATGTATTGTGAAATGACTAAATAGAGCTCATGTACCTATGCGTGATCTCACATGGATTTCATGTTTTCGTTTTGAGAACACAAGATCTACTCTCAGAGATTTTCAAGAATACGATACATTATTAGCTTTAGTCACTGTGCTGTGCAATAGGTCTCTTGAAATTACTCCTCCAAAGTGAACTGAAATGTTGTACCCTTTGACCAATATCTCTCCCACCCTTGACCCACCGCCTCTAGTAACCACTGCTCTACTCTCTCCTTTTACCAATTCCATTTTTTAAAACTCCACATAAGTGAGATTATGTGGTATTTGTTTCTATTCCTGGCTTATTTCACTTAGCGTGATGTCCTTCAGGTTCATCTATGTTGTCACAAATAGCAGGATTTCCTTTTTTTTTTTTTTTTTAAAGACTAAGTTGCTCAGCGCCATGGCTCACACTTGTAATCACAGCACTTTGGGAAGTTGAGGCAGATGGGTCACTTGAGGTCAGGAGTTTGAGACCAGCCTGGCCAACAAGGGGAAACCCTATCTCTACTAAAAATGCAAAATTAGCCGGTTGTGGTGGTGCATGCCTGTAATCCCAGCTATTTGGGAGGCTGAGGCCGGAGAATTACCTGAACCCAGGAAGTAGAGGCTGCAGTGAGCTGGGATCGTGTCATTGCACTC